TGAAAATGTTCAATATTTTAATAATATGATAATATTTAATAATAATGGTTTAACGTGGTCTGATACCCTCATTGGCAATGCTCCTTCAAGCCGAGCTATCTATACTGCAACATTATTACCAAACGATGAAATTTTATATATTGGAGGTATTGAAATAGTTGATTATTCTTTGAAAGCAGTTAGTGTTTCGGGCGAAACTAGTTTCGCCAATTTGATCTGCAAAAATCTTTCCAAATTTAGGGTTTCGGAGGTTTCGGATAGTTTCGGATCATATAAAAATTCTCTGGGCGAAACGTTTCGGATGTTGAAAAATAGTTTCGCCTGAAACACTAAAAGCAGTAGATATTAATCAAATTCACATTTATAATACAAAACAAAATACTTGGTCAGTAATGGTAAGCATGCATTTGTAGTTACTATGATTCTTGTTAAATTAATTAAAATTAATTAATATTAAAAATTTTGTTAAGCAAGCAATAAACAATGGTCAAATTGAAATCGAATCCCGTTTTTATCATTCAGCAATATTAAGTATTTATTAAATTTTTATACATTTTTATTTTAATTGATTTTAATTATTTGTTAAATATTATATTAATTTCAGTTCCTGATGGAAGAATAATTATCTATGGTGGGGTAAAACCCACTACAGATTTATTAAAAGTTGCACCAGATTTGGCTGTTTTAAATACTAAAACAACTCCGTTTGAATGGACTGTACCACAAGTAACTTCAAATATTGGTAAAGTTCCGTCACTTGCATCGCATACTGCAAATTTGGTTGAAAATTTTATGATTATAACCTTTGGTAAATAATAATTCACTTTAATTTTTATTTAAATTTTAAAGATTCTTATATTAACAAGTAAACGGATTTCTTGAATTATAGGAGTTATTCTTCAGCCAAATTTTTTTCCAAAAGTTTTTAATACAAGGATTTATTTATTAGATATTAGAAACTATGCTTGGGTTTATAGATTTGAACTTGAAAATAACACTACAAACACGACTTGTGATAATGATAGTACAATGAAAATTGCAATTGGTACAATAAGTGGAATTGTAGGTACCGCAATATTTATGGCAATTGGAATTTTTGGCTATAAATGGTACATAAAAAAGATCAAGATAATAAAATCATGAGAATTTCTGGTAATATTTAATACAATAAATGAAAAGCGTTACAACACTACATAAAATACCGAACGTAATTTTATTTGTTATTCAGGCCCGGTAAACTTTTTGAAATAAGTTATTCTTATAACGTAATCTCACAATTAAATAGCAAGCACGAATATGAAGCATTATCAAATCTCAGTAATGAACCAGGCATTTTCGTTTAAAGAATAAAATAAATTTTTATTTAATGTTTTCAGATTTATTGAGTTTTAGAAAGAACTTATTTTTCAGTTTTAGATTTTCGTGCTTAAAAATTTAAGGTTTATAAATTTTCATAATTATTCTATTTCTCTTATAAATTATCCCTAAAATCTTACATATAGCAGTTTTTATAATATTTCCAAAAACCCATCGAATTTCGCATAGTTGTTATCGAAACTGTCGAAATAATTTTTGAAAAGTTTCGACTTTTTGTCAAAATGGGTTTAAGGTTTTGCCCCGCAACTATAATAATTTAAGTATATGGGAGGATTCTAGGAAATTCAGGTTACAAGAAATTTTAACTAAAATTAAAAGCTTTAATGCATTTTAATCTAATTACATCAAAAACTATAATGCAATAAAAATCTCTCAATTTTGTTAAAAAATTCCGGAACCTGATTTCCTAACAATCAACCCATATATCATCAATCCATTAAAAAACTTTATATGTCACGTGTTACATAGGCTTTATGCTACGCGTACGAATAATAAACACAAATTAATGCAATGGAGCAATGGACTATTGTTTTTAATTAATTAATAAGCTTTTTAATTCAATATTAGTTAAATTCATTACCAATATAAATAAACAATCACCGTATTTTATTATTCTCTCGTTATCATTAATCCAAATGTGCCACTCGAAAACAATTTGATTTATAAAATAATGCTTTAAGTTTTATTTTGTATTTAAGCGGTCATAATTTCTAAAAATCTTGAAAAAGAATATCTTCGGTTTCCAAAATTTATTTTTCGCGGCAAGAATATAGAAAAAAAGAACGATTGGAGCTATAGAATACTATTATTACCTTAAGTTAATTAATGTTTGCTTCTTCAAGTGGGTAATTCTCAACTTCGCAAAATATATTTTCTTGATACATTTTTTATTTACATTTTTATCTAGTTTATTAGTTACCTCTTCTTTATTATTTTAACACTTTAATTGGTTTATTGATAGTAGAATTCAGAAAGGTAGACTTATATACGCAAATAAACTATTGATGCAACATATTTTAAAAAATATTTTTCAAACAAACTCAACATGATCACATAGGGCTGTAAGATAGTTTTGCAAATATTACGCTCCGAAAGTTAAAACGCCTAGTACATTTATTTTCATTATCGTATATACTAATTATTATATCAATGTAAAATATTTAAATGATTTTAATTGATTCACTTACCTTAATAATCTCAAACCATCTGAATATAACAATTGGAATCTTGTTGAATTTCTGCAGATTATTGAATTCTTTGATATCCTGAACTTTTACGTTAATGGGATTTCTCAAGCAATTTGCTGAACCATATTTTTGAGATTAATATCCTTTCAGAATAGATAATTCTACTCTTTTAATTTTTTCTACGATTAAATTATAATTTGTTTCCAAAGTTGAAATAATTTTTTGTATTACGGTAAACGTTTATTATTGTTCCACTAAATCAATATCTTTTTATTTATCCAAATTTAGTTAAACCGTTAATCAAACATTAAAAAGGCATCAATTGCCGACATTCATTAATTTTTTTTTTTTTCACAAAAAATGTCTAAACAATTTTTTTCGAAATTAAGTCAGAATTTTATTGAAATCTTAGATAATGATGATGAATATCAGGATGTCATATTTGAAGTTGGAGAAAACTTTCATATAAAAAGTTTTCGTGCACATGCTATTATTTTGAGTTATCGTTCTCCATATTTCAGACGAAAATTATCTAAAAGAAAAGATGGGGATAATAACTTGTGTCATATGAAATTCTCAAACATTTCACCGGAACATTTTCAAATTATTTTAAAGTGAGATTTTACAAATTTTTTTTTTTTTTTTAATAATGGATTTATCATCATTATTTAAAAGTAAAAAATATTAATTTTTCAAAAACTCAAGATATATTTATGGTGGATTCCTTTCATTAAATGGTTACAATAACATTTCGGAAATTATTAAAATATTACTTGTGGCAGATGAATTTCATTTGCAAGAATTGGTAGATTTCTTGCAAAAATATTGATTGAGGAAAAGTCCGAATGGATTGATCAAAATTTTGACTTGGTTCACAGAAGTCTAAAATCGACTTGTTTTACAGAATTGCAACCATACTGCATAAATTTAATAGCATCTTATCCATTTAAAATATTTAAATCATTAGATTTTACCTCCCTTGACGAAAAATCATTATTACCATTATTAAAAAAAAGTGAATTGCAAATGGAAGAGGTCGATATTTGGTCGTCCGTATTAAAATGGGGTCACGCGAGAAATCCTACGTTAATGCAGGATCCATCAAATTGGACGGATGATGAATTCAGATTAATTGGAAAATACTTTGAATAACGTCTTGTCTCATATTAGATTTTTTAGTTTATCTTCCAAAGAATTTTTAGAACAAGTTATTCCTTACCAAAAATTGCTTAAGCCTAAGCTTTACCAGGATTTATTAAAATACTTTTTAGATCCTGATAGTAAACCTCCTAAAAATAATTATCTTGCTCCTAGATATTATGGAAAATTTGATACAAAAATAATTAATATTGATATAGTTTCATTAATTTCAAAATGGATTGATAACGTGAAACACGAAAGAAAATTTTCCGTTAGAGAAAAGTTATATTTGCCTTATGAATTCAACTTATTATTACGAGGAAGTAGAGATGGGTTTACTCCTAAAAAATTTCATAAGTTATGTGATGGTAAAGAAAATACTGTGTCTTTTATAAAAGTTAAAGGAACCGATGAAATTTATGGCGGATTTAATCCTTTAAAATGGACATCTGATCAAGGTTGGCTCAGTACCGAAGAAAGTTTTATATTTTCCTTTAAATGTAAGGATTTTGGCCTAAAGGATGCAATTTATAGTAAAATAAGACAAGAAGGATAAAAATTATGCAATTCGAGTAGCTCCATGGGATGGTCCAGGATTTGGCGGAGATATCAAGATTTATAATGAAACGGCTCCGGTAGATAAAAATTATGAAATTGTTTATTGTAGAAGAGGTAAGCATTATGAAAAAGCGATAAGAGATACCGAGGATAGAATATCTATAGAAGACTATGAAGTATTTCAAATTAAAAAAAGATAAAATAATTTCGGGAGGAACATATTAGGTAATTAGAAGGACATTTTCGTCATAAATTAAATAAAATAAATTGTTATTATTAATTAATGTTTATGAATTAATATTTGTTAACAAAACAAATAGTTGAAAATGAGCAGAACATAAATCTCGAATTGTTAAATAAAATGTCAATAGTAATTACTTTACAGCAAATTTCATAAGTCACGGGACAGCCAATAATAACCGAGACTTTTCCGAGAACATCTATAAGGCCTACCACTGTTTATACAGGCAAAAAAAATTATGTCGCTATATTCGGAACAATGATTTGAACATAGCGATAATGTTTTTTCTTCAAAAAATTCTATACCGAGTTTTTTTTTATCGATCTGCAAAATGATCGTCCGCCCCCGTGACTTTTGAAATTAGCTGTTACGCGTTTTTCATACCAGTAGGGCCGGGTCCGGGTTCAAGGTACCAGCCCGGATTTTTTTATAATTTTGGCAAAAATAATTATTTACAGCTAATTTCAAAAGTTGCGAGACATGTAAATTTTAGTTTATCAGCACTGTCGGATTGTTCGGAAAGGTCGGAAATGTCGGTGCCAATCTAATGATTGAAATTTCTCGGCGCCACGAATATTTTTTTTCTATATATATTTTAAAAATTCTTTTGGTGACTTTACCATAAGTATTTTCACATAGTAAACAAATGAGACAAATTGGACTTGCATTTAAACGGAAGCTTAATGAACTATTCATTGTTAAATTAAATAACGTGAGTAAAAAATTGAATATGTTTTATAAATTTGATTGACGCCGAAAAATTTCTAATCATTTGATTGGCACCAACATTTCCGACATTTCCGAACAATCCGACAGTGCCGATAAACTAAAATTTACATGTCTCGCAACTTTGAAATTAGCTGTAATTAAAATTTAACCGCCACTGATTGTATAATAAAATATTTTATTGTTGCTAATCAATTTCATATTGTTTGTAAACAGGTTGTATCATTTTGGTATTACATAGTGCTCTTCATTAATTATTTTGTTTGTTTATTATAATAACAATTTGTTAAAAAAAAAAAATACATATTGTTTTTTTGTAATTTGTTAAATAAAAATAAAATGATTAAATTGTTAAATTTCGCATCGTTAATAATTATAATTAAGTCCGGGCTGGGCCGGGCTGGCATTTTAATACACAAATTTAACCCGGGCTGGGCCAGGCCGGCATTTAAATTCTTGGCTTAAAGTCCGGGCTGGGCTGGACTTCAATTTGGACTTATGCAGGTCTCTACTACAAGTCATCGACAGGTGTTATTAAATCATGTATGGTATGGATTTTTATGTTTATATTAATTATAATTTCATCGTCAGATACTAGTTTCAATAACTTAAAAATAATCAGATTTGCTTTTAACAGAATGACAATCAAAAAAAAAACAATAAGTCGTGTTGATAATTATTTTGATTTATACATTACAAGAGTAAAATAAGGTGTAGAGTTTTAATAAAGTTTTTAAATTTGTAACTTAATTTATTAATGTAAAATTAATTAAAATTTTTGCATTTATCAAATAGAAAGTAGCGACTCGTTACCCATTTACCCGCGTATACCCGGATAATTCTATCCTGGTCATAAAATAACAATGGGTAATATCCAGTATGTATCCGTTTTCACATTTGGAAAGGAATGTGTTTCTGTTGTAAAATATTCTGCTGTGCATTTTGCGTTGTGATCAATTTGTTGGGTTATAACTGTACTGTAAATCTATTGGTAAAGCTGCGATATTTTTTTTATTAAAGTTAATAAGTAATTAGGAAAAATGGGTTTAAAGATTACTGATAAGGTTATTCATACATTAAGTTAATTAGCGGTAATAGCTATTAGCTAATGTCTTATTTATTCGTTTTATACTAAATGTAAAAACTGTAGTTATATAAATATTAATTTAAACTTTTTTTTGTGAACAATACTGTCAACTTTGCTTTTGCATTTTACATTCATTTAAAATTTTAATAATAAAAAGAATTTTAAAGAAAATATTTTGTAGCCAGACTTATATTTAGATTATATAAAATAAAATAACATCCGGGTATAAATAGGTAATATCCGTTAAGAAATTAGATAACCTTTTTTTATAATTTGGGTATGACCCAGATTCTGTAATTCTAATGGGTCGCAACTCTGCTTTACGCGGTGTTCAGGAGAAACGGTTATAGTTATGAACTATAACTGGTTGAGCGCAAGCTGATATCAAAATATTCTAAGTGGTTCGATGTTCCTAAAGAAATCATTTTTTTAATTTAAAGATAGGAAAAAAAGGATAATTTTCAAGATTGAGCAAGAAACTAGTGTAAATTTTTAAAATTACTTTTACTCAATATATTTAATTTCATTTCAATAACATAATTAAATTACAAAAAACAAATTTTAAATGCGATATGATGAATATTAGCTCGCTCACAATAAAGTTTACCGTAAAAAATAATAAATTTAGTAATTCTAGAATAAATTTAGATATATTCTAATTAATAAATAGCAAATATATAAAATACCTAATTAAAATAATTAGCAAACATTTCGTGCGATCTATTTAACCAATCTTGTTCTTCACAATTTGAAATACTTCATAATCTTCTATTGAAAATTCTTGTATATCTTTATCTCTTATTGCCTTTTCATATTGCTTAATGAACAATATTTAAAATCATAATCTGTTTTATTATCCTCAATATTTTCTAAATAAAGATCACTATAAAAGGTGGGACCAAAAGAGAGCTATAATATAATGCTATATCAGCATCCCTTACATGGCTTAAGATTGTATTGTTAAAATTATCCTTATTCTTAAAAGAAATATAATACTAACTTAATTTTTACTATATTATACATATGCGAAGGATTTTCAGATTGAAGGGTTATATCCTCCAAGAATTTCTTCTGTCACCTTTACCATAATAAATGTATCTGTACAAAGAATATTATCATAATACTCATGAAACTTTTTTGGAGTAAATCCATCTTGACTTTCCTTTAATATCAATTTAAATTCAGATAAATATAATTCTCTTATATAGACAAATCTGCTTTGAATATCTATTTTATCAATCTATCTTGAAATCAAGGAAAAAATATTAAATTAATGATCTTTGTGTAGAGTTCTGGACGAGTCGAGTTAACTCACGAGTCAGATAAGCCGAGTCGAGTTTGAATCAAGTCAAGTATATGTTTTTTTGACTCGATTATTTGTGAGTTAAGCCAAATTCAAGTCGAGTTAAATATTACTTGACTCGATTTAAACTTGACTTAATTCGAGTTGACTCGAGTTGATTCAAGTGGACTTGAACAATAAAAAATCGTTCAAGAAGAATGATAAGAAATTGTTCGACTTAAATGATAAAATATTCATTTAAGAAGAATGATAAAAAACCATTCAACTTAAACGATAAAAGCAATCATTCAAGAAGAATGATAACTAATCATTCGACTTGAATGATAAAAGCAATTATTCAAGAAGAATGATAACCTAATCGTTCAACTTGAATGATAAAAGCAATCATTTAAGAAGAACGATAACCTAATCGTTCGACTTGAATGATAAAGCAATCATTCAAGAAGAATGATAACTTAATCATTTGACTTGAACGATAAAAGCAATCATTCAAAAAGAACGATAACTATTCATTTGACTTGAACGATAAAAGCAATCGTTCAAGAAGAACAATAACAAATCGTTCGCTTTCCCCCTTCCCTCCCCCCCTCTGATCTTTTCATTTTTTTTTATTATTTTTTTTTAAAATCGAATCGAGTTAAAATTGAGTTGAGTTAATTTGAGTCGAGTTTAAAATTTATATAACTCGAATCAAATCAAATTTAAAGATTTTATAAAATAAATTTTAACTTGACTTAACTTGAAAAAAGATAGTCGAATAGAGTTGATCTTTAAACTCGACTCGATTCGACTCATTCAGAACTCTATCTTTGTGTTTATAATTTCATTAGCATTTCTACTTCTTTATAGAAACTTTGTTTATTTACTATTCAGTAATTGTAAAATACCTATTAGGCTGCAATTAAGCTATAACTAAGTAAAGTAATAACTATATATTTACTATATAATTATTTTGTAATTACTATATATTAAGAAAACTAAGTTTCTGTTAGGTTTTAGGAAGCAAAATACCATCTTTTGCTTACTTTTTAGATCAAATAAGAAGAATCTTCATAAAGTTATTAATTCAAAAGCTTTTATATGAATGAACTTTTTTGATGATATCTTCAGAAGTTAAGATAAAAAATCTATTTAAAGGCAAACAGTATTATAAAATACATTTTATTATTTTAAAATCATTATCTAACTAAAACTTAGAAATAGAAATAAGTATAAGTTTGTCAAAATTCATTTTTAATATATATTCTTAAATTTTAACCTTACTGATTTATAAGTCATCTCATTTAACAATTAAAATTAAGATCTTTTCAATAAGAAAAGTAAAGTGATTTAAATACCTTGTCAGAAGTTTAGCTAAAAGTTCTGTACAATATTGTTGAAATTTAGATAAAAGAATTAAATTGACTGTTTTTGAAATAAATTCATTGAAAATGTTATTCTATTCATTTGGGTTTATCTTTAATTAAATATATTTGTAAATATTTAATTAGCTCATAAATGAGAAGCTTATTAGCTATACTTAAGACTTTAAATAAATCTAAGATATCACACTCATCTAATTAAATAATACTATTGTTACGTTAGTTTTATAACTTCAAATAAAATTTTAAAAGGAGTAAATAAAACTAAGACAATTACTTAAGGAATCACAGGTGAAGATTCAAAATAATGTCAAAGAATTATTCTTAATATACAACACGTGATATAAACTCAAAATAAATACAAAAATAACTCAAGAAATATCAGAGATTGCACTTCAGAAACTCTAAGTCAATATAGCAAATCAATACAATATCATAATAAGTTCATTAACAAAAGGAATTATACAAATGCAAAGTGTCACAGATAATTTATAACATTTTCAAAGGGTTTGCAAAGGATAAGTTTTATACTTAGTTAATTATACTCCTTTATTAATAATATATAAGTTCAGTACCTAAAAGATTAACATCTTATTGATGCTAAAACTCAAAGAAAATACATTGTTATTTATACATGTTAAATAAATAATAAAATAAACTAAACTAAATATATTGAAGGAAATAAAGTTGCTATTTCGCTAGGCAATAAAGTTACCATATCAATAAAATTGTCAGATCTGCAGGCAACTAAATGGATATCTATGATCTATATAATTATCAAAGGTAATAAAATTAACTTTCTATTCTACTAATTAAATCTATCTAAAATTTTACTAGTAACATTTTCTCTTTTTAGATTTGAACTCTGTCAAAGAATTCTTCTTTCTTCTTTTAATTCTCTTAGACAAGGTAGTAGGGGTAATTTCTAGTTCTTGAGCATATTCCTTTTGCATTTTTCTTTTTTATAAGAGTTCTTCAGGACTTTTATTTTTCACAGATTCTTCTTCCTAATAGATTTTATCCATTAAATCTATCAATTTATCTGACTTGGTTTTTTCCCAGAGGTTGATAATTATTAGAAGTAACTTAATATTATTTTCTTTTAGCACATTATTTGCCTTTTCAACATTTTTAATATTTTGTTAATATTTTCTTACAAAATGACTCATTTGTTAGAAATTTTCAAACATTTTCAGGAAAATTGAGATTCAAGGTCTAA